CCCCAAAACCCCAAAACCCCAAAACCCCAAAACCCCAAAACCCCTTCCTCAGCATTATTTCACGATGTTTTCGTATGCAAATCAAATAAGATTTTATTAAATATTTAATTATAAATTAAAGATGTTCCTTAGAAACGCGTACAGGAAGTCCCATGCTAGTACCAAGAGGTTCTTTGCCTCTGTAGCTGTAGACTATGATTTCTCAGAGACCCCCAATCTAGATGAGATCCATCTCAAGAGTCCAAAGAAGAAGACCAAGATTAATCTCTGAACAGCCATTAGAGATGCAATGGATACAGCAATGGAAACTGATGATTCTTCTATCCATTTTGGAGAGGATGTCAAGTTTGGAGGAGTATTCAGATGTAGTGTTGGCCTCCTTGAAAAATATGGCAATGATAGAGTATTCAACACTCCTCTTTGTGAACAGGGAATCGCTGGATTTGCTATTGGAACAGCATGTTCAGGAGCAACCACAATCGCAGAAATGCAATTCGCAGATTATATTTTCCCTGCCTTCGATCAAATCGTCAATGAGGCAGCAAAATATAGATATAGATCAGGTGATGAATTTAATTGTGGAAGTCTAACAATCAGAACTCCGTGCTCTGCTGTTGGTCATGGAGCTCATTACCACAGTCAAAGTCCAGAAGCTTACTTTGCTCACACTCCAGGCCTCGTCCTCGTCATGCCCAGAAGCCCCATCCAAGCCAAAGGACTTCTGCTCTCCTCAATCAGGTCCAAAGACCCTGTCATATTCTTCGAACCCAAAGCTTTGTACAGAATTGCTGAAGAAGAAGTTCCAGATGAAGACTACGAAATCCCTCTAGGCCAAGCCGAAGTCCTCACTGAAGGCTCTGATGTGACCCTTGTTGGGTACGGAATCCAAATGAGGAAACTCATTCTGGCAGCCGAAATGGCCAAGAAAGACGGCATTTCGTGAGAAGTCATCGACCTCAGGACCATTCTCCCATGGGATGCTGACACTGTCGAGCAATCTGTCAAGAAAACAGGCAGACTCATTGTGTCACACGAAGCTCCAATCACAAACGGATTCGCAAGCGAAGTATCATCAAAGATACAGGAGAGATGTTTCTTGCACTTAGAAGCACCAATCAAGAGAGTGTGCGGATACGACACACCATTCCCACTGGTATACGAGCCAATATATTTACCAGATCAGTACAAAGTATATGAGGCAATCAAGCAAACTGTGAACTTTTAATTCAATGAAAACAAAATTCTATAATTCCCTTTGTTAATGGGGTTTTGGGGTTTTGGGGTTTTGGGGTTTTGGGGTTTTGGGGTTTTGGGGTTTTGGGG